GACTGAGGACAAGCAGGACTGACTGACCAAAGTACATGAGAACTTAGGGCTGTGTGTCAGACAGGGTCTTCTGCAGTACGGTGGCCCCACAGGGAACTGTTCTGGCTCCGTTCCTCTTCACCATCTACACTGCAGACTTCTCCCACAACTCCACCCAGTGCTTTCTTCAGAAATTCTCTGATGACTCCGCAATAGTCGGCCTGATGATCACTGATGGGGATGACAGGGAGTACCCTTAACTGACCCAAGACTTTGTGGACTGGTGCCAGCAGAGCTACCTCCAAATCAACACTAGTAAAACCAAGGAGCTGGTGGTAGACTTCTGCAGGCACAAACATCCTCCAGTGCAACCACTGAACATTCAAGGTATGGACACTGAGGCTGTGGACAGCTACAGGTACCTTGGTGTTTATGTGAATGATAAACTGGACTGGACAGAGTCTCAGGTTGTTTGGAGTGGAGGGCCCACTCCTGAAGACCTTCTATGACTCTGTGGTGGCCTCAGCCATCTTTTATGGTGTGGTCTGCTGGGGTGGCAGCATCTCTGCTGGGGACAGGAAGAGACTGAACAGGCTGATCCGAAGGGCCAGCTCTGTTCTAGGATGCTCTCTGGACCCAGTGGAGGAGGTAAGAGACCGGAGAATGGTGGCTAAGCTGTCATCCTTGTTGATGAGTGCAATTCTCTTTTTCTGACAACGTTGTATATTATTCTATTGTATATAGTATTTTATTCTTATTATACTGTCATATTCCAGTGTTTTTCTTAGTTTTTGCTACTGTAACTTTGCACTGTCCACGCTGTGACACAACACATTTCCCACGAGTGGGACTAATAAAGGTTATCTTATCTTATGAATAAACTATTTCTCAGCAGATGATGAGTTAGCTGTTTCACAACTACTCTTTCAAGATTTTTTTAGATAAAAGGAAGGTTAGAGATAAGACTGCTGAGTCAAGAGATGGCTTTTTTTAATGGTTTAACTACTGCCAGCTCAAAGGCCTGTGGTATTTAGCCAATTATTAGCGGTAGGTTGATCATATTTAAGATTGAAGCATTAATTAATGGTAAAACTTCTTTGAGCAGTCTTATCCGGTTGTTCAGTGATGACACGACGAATCCTACTTCCGGGCCTAAAGTAGTCTGCGTTTAATATGGCTTTTGTGTTGTTAACATGTTTAATGTTATGTATTTTCTTCTATTTGATCTCAAAAAGCTCCTAAAACAGTCAGTGATCCCTGTTGACCTCCCTCGGCTTTTATTACCGCTAATCATTTATTTAAGCTCAGTTTTTAAAACCTTAGGATGTAACTACAGCCCAGCCCATGCAGCAGTATATGAATGACTAACCTCGTATTGTGGATGGATTATCTCAGTTGTTCTCCTGGCTGAAGTTTGGTCCTTTTACAGCATCCTGCCATGCGATTACATTTGTTCCTGACCACCGAGAACACTCACGTTAACTTTTATCGAGTGGAAAAAAAGTTAGCTTGTTTATATTATGCTAACATAGCTGTGTCGCTAGCGGTCACGTATCACATCATTATGTACCAGCTAGCCCAACTTCAGTAACCCTACAAACGTCACTGCTGTTAAGTTGTCTGTTTTCATTTATGTTGGAAGTGATAACAGAGCTGTACGTTTTAATTTGTTTCCAAAACCCCGCAGTCAGGACATGCTATATTGTATTTAGATAGAAGCTAGCGAGCTAACTTCCTGCTAACTTCTAACTCCGTTAAATGTCATAAATTCCGTTTTCATGGATGCCTGGATGTTAAACTCAATTGTTACACCTGGTAGAGCAGAACGCTGATCATTTTATTAAAGATGAAAGACTTTAGACAGTTTTTCAACTCTCAGTAATGCCACAGTGATCGTTTGATATATGGACCTGCAGCGGAGTTTAGGTCCAGACACGGCTAGTGACGTCAGACTGAACAACCGGATAGGAATGGGGTCTAAAAGACACTTTGATGGTTTGGAGGAAGTAATTACTGAAGTTAATTTAAAAAGATTAATTGGTGAAAAGGACTAAATGAATATCAGTGAAAGTACTGAAAGTACCGAAAGTAGCCGTAGATAATGCTACATCTATGATATCATTATCAGTGATTCTTTCCTCTAATCGTTAAAATTTTATTTGTAAAGAAATTCATGAAGTCATTACTCGTTAATTGTTAACTATTAATAGCAAGCCAACCATTAATACCATTGTATTAATGTTTGGCTCAACAGTGCTCTGACTTTGTGTCAGCCTGGCTACAGCGCTGAAGAGAAACCTGTTGTTCTTATTTTCTTCAATCAGTGATGAATTTTAGGATATTCTAGCTTTACGTAAGGCTTTTTTTTTTTTTAATTAAAGCAGCAAACTATTTCTCTAAATTATGATCTTCTAAATTAGTGAGACTCCATTACTGAGTTTGACAGTTATACCAGGGAGTTAAGTACTTCTGATTTGAGGCTCTCTTTATAGTCATGCAAGGCATATGTAGTGAAGAAGGTAAATGATTAACAAGATAATCAACCTGTGCAGGAGTAGCTGCTTTGCAATATGTTGGTAAAAGGCATTAAAGATGATAACAGTTGGTGAATTTTATCCTCCAACTTAGTACCAGTACTTTCAGAAAGACATCTGATGTGATGAAATCTATCCCCCATGGCTATGTAATCAATTATTGTAAAAGTAAGTTTTTCAAGGGTGCAAAGCGAGTCTCTAATTCAAACTGGCCTCCAGACTTGAAAATAGGCTACATTTATTACTGTGTGCTGTTAAGAAAAAAGGAGGAAGTCATTTCAAGGAAATGAGAACACGGCAAGAAAATGGATGAACAGTATGTGATGTATTAAAGAAAAAAGTGTCACCATTTAATTTTGTCTTCATACTCTCTTCCTTCCATCTTTACCATATGTTGTGTTTGTTTTTCCTCTCTCACAGTAGTGTGACCTACAATGCTGTTAAGCTGTTTCGATCCGACTCTTGCTGTGTGACTGTGTGATACAGAACCAATCAGCATGTGAACATGAAACCCTCTCCAAACAAAAAACACCATCTTGGAACCTGCTGTCTGATTGGTGTTCTGTAATGAAAAACTCTTCACACTGTGTACAGTGGAAAGAAGGGAGCAACATCGCAATAAAAACGTGTTATGGTAAAAGGATGGCAGTTGATGAGAAAAAAAAGGAAAGAATTACTTTAAATTAAAGACTGTCAGGACCAAAAATTTGAAAAACATACAGTGATATCAAACTCTTCAGATTTGGTCTGCAGGCTTCAACAGAGTTTTATTTATTTTAACATAACCTGATGCTAAAAAGGTGCTGTTTCTTTTCCATCAAACTGTTTTCCATTAGGCTGACTACAGAGTACCAAAACAACCCCAGGATAAGGCTGTGCTAATGTAATACTATGAGCTATCAAGGAAATAATTGCATAATCCAATTGTATTATATTGTATTGTATTGTATGACTGAACCAACAAACACAATGCTGCTGTGAGGTTTCTACAGCAGTGCTGGTGCTAAAACACTGAAATGCTATATAATGGTAATCTCAGGATACATGATGGCAACGTTGTTCATGTCAAACTGTTAATTTGTCAGTATTCTGACAAATTAGTATAATAGTATAATAAACTTGTATGAAGGTGTACTAGGGCCACATTGAGAAAAAATATTATTGATAATTTTGAGAATAAAGTTAAAATACTATTTTGAGAAAAAAGTTGTAATTGTATTTTCGACTGTAATCTGTAATCCGCACATCCAATTATGAGCAGATTACAGTTACGGTTTCAGAACAAACTGCCTCAACTGCTGTAACCTCTACAAAACGTCTCGTGTAGATGACTTAGTAAAACAAATTGATCAGCGGTCTGACACAACACACAATCTCTTTGCTGCATGAGGGTGTAACTATTGATAACCTTGCATTTGTCCTTTACCAGCCACTTCATTTTGAAAAACACAAACTCTTCCTTGTTTCTGTGTTTTTCCATCTCACCAGATGCAGCTTACTCAAACCATCCTTTCAATGCCCTTATACATACACCGCATCGTTTATGTGCTAAAAGAGAAATCATTTCCTTTATTGCTACTAAAACATTTTCTGAAGTAGGCTTTAATTAATTGACAGGGTATAGCAACCGTGGTGATCTCCACATTTTGACTTTTTTCTGGAGATGCAAATACAAATGTTTTCTCAAAATAAATTTTCAATTTTAATATGAAAATTTTGACTTTATTCTCAAAATGATCAATAATCTATTTTTTCTTAATGTGACTCTAATATAATAACAACAACAATAATAATAACAATCTTTGTATTTTTATTATTATTATTCATTTTGTCATTGTTTTGCTGTGTTTTATTTTATTGTTAAGTGTCCGTGGGTGTCTTGAAAGGCGCTTTTAAACAGAAGTTGTTGTTGTCATCATTATTATTATTATTATCATTATTATTATTATTATTATTACAACAACACTTATACCTTAAACTTTTCTTGAGTCGGACCTGGTACATAAAAAAAATGTACATTCCTACCAACCTGCTTCACTGTTAGGAAGTAAATTATGGGAATGCGACAAAAATCATCAAGAAAATTTGGATTTATCTCTCAAGAGAAAGATTTGTAACTGACCTGCTTTTATACAAATGGTTCTATTTACAGTTTTAATTTCACTAAAATAAACGAAAACTAAAGGTTTTCTAATGGTTTCCATTTAAGAGCAACCACAATAATAAAGACACTAAAACTTAGAAAACAACAACTTACAATCACTCAGGTTCTGCCAAGTCTCTATAGATAAATAAAGATTGCAGGCAGAAGCATTCAACAGAATATGTAACTATGCACCTGAACTCTGTTTTACAGTTGTGGTTCCTTTCCCAATAAACACTGTTTGATTTTAAAAGCTATTCGAACACTTTCTGTGGTTTGCCACTTTTCATTTCTTCAATGACATTCAGATAATCAAAACAGATCGAGTGAGAAGCTGAACTTACTGATGGGGGATGTCAGTTTCTGGTTTCCTCCTCTGCAGTTTGGGGTTTTGTTTTTGGGGTGGAGGATCGGTTTGTAGGACTGTCCAGTCGCTCGGTACATGGCCTGGACCCACAGCACCCGTTCCTGCTCATCATCACAAGCAAACATCACCAAATCGCCTTCCTTCAACACGTTAAAAAAAACCCGACCACCTTGCAGACCTAAAGAGGAGATAAAAGAAGTGAACGTTAAAGGGCAGAATAATGAAAAATAAGCACATCCAAATCTTACTTTGTGACAATTTCATCATATTCATCATATTCCATGAAATCATTTCTTGATGATTTATAATTAATTTCTTTTTAAACTGTAGTAAATTTGTGCTCCCTACTCTTCTCAAAAGTGAGATATTGAAAATTCTGTAATGTAATCTTCAAAATAGAGAACGTGGTTATGAACAAAATTTAGCAGAGAAACAGATAACACAACAAAAATTATAAAAATTGCATTTAAACGTAACATTTAAACAGCTTTTTTGACAGAGTTTTGGGGAGATTAGTATAATTCCATAAATTAGAGTTGTTTTAATTATTTTATTGGCTCCAATAACTTTATTCTTTGTACACACTCAGTTTCAAGATGATCAAAATCTATCGTGCTATTGTTTTTAACATTTCTTTTTCATGTCTACCTGGCCGAGGCTCACAGCAGTCCACTGTGTAGCCCTCCAGCTGCATCAGCTCCTGAGGCTCAGCCTTCTTCTCTCTATAGCTGCACATTGCAAATGTGTACTGACTAACCTGCAGGACAGCGACACAAATTCATGAGCAATCAAAAACAGACACACATGCATGCACACACACCCACACACAGTCCACAGACATGAAAGTTCTCCAGGTTCATTTTCTTTGCTGTACCACAAAATGTGCTAAAAATGTAAAATTTAGTGTTAGGGCTACGCAATGACTGTTAAATATGAATCATGTGAACTTGTTAAGATTATGACATATTCTGACTGTCACATCTGATTTCAGAAAGACGGTAAAAGCAAACTCAAGTCTTCACAAACCAGTGGGCAATGTCATTGTCATTGTGTCCACTTTGGCTACACAGTGTCTTAAATATGAACAGCCGTTAAACATTTGATTCCAGGTGCAGAGAAACAGTATCTGAGGACATTACAAGCTCGTGGGGGTTGGCTGTCACAAAAGCATGGGGTAGATTTGCAAGAATCTGCCCCATGTGCCTCTAATGCTCAGAAAGTTAATGTCAGCTTAAGTTGAAAAAAAAAAGTGTCAAAGGAATTGAGACAACCGGTTTCCTATGAAGGCCGAAGCTTTCATATGTGACTGCTGCATCCTACCAAAACGCTGCCTGAATCAGATCCTTCAAATGTCAACACTTTGCTGCTGCTGTATTACACCTCTGTCCATATCAGTCACAGCTTACAAATTCATCTGAGCAGCGTCTCACCAGTTTCATACCTGGACAAGAACAAAATATCTTTTTTTCCAGCGTTTCCAGACCCTCTGCCCCATAGCGTACAGGTATCTGAAGCACAAAGAAAGACAGTGAGTTACTGATTGCTTTTTTAAAAAACATTTTTTCCTGAAGTGAACTGCATGTACTGTGTTTCACACACTAATTTAACAGATGACTCACTCATTTTATCCATTTATATACGTCTCATTTTAGCTAGCTAAATAAGCTGGCTAAAATGAGACTAGATTAGTTATTCTGATGGGTACTTAAAGCAGTTGGAATAGTTACAAATAAATTAATCATATGTAATAGTCCTGCCTAAAATGGATTTACATCCATTTTAAACTATTTAACCCAATTTGTCAGTTTTACTATTAAATCACGTAGAAAATATTTTTTCCAAGGTGAGAAATTTGCATAAAACTTAAGCCACTTATCTCTTAAACTGACTCACAGACTCTGCTCAAATTAAATAAAGATATTCTTGAGAATAAGAAAATACTCTGAGGCATTTTGCCTGATGAACTGTGGTTGCAGTGGATTTTTAAAAATGTATGTGGTCCTCTAAATCACAAAAACAAGCAAAATTACTTTTTTCCTTATAAGTAGTAGAAACTCTTATTACTCTTGTTCTTTAAATGGTCTGTAGAATTCGGTTCATCGGGTTTTGTGCTCACCAACAATGTCAGCAAAATTTTGAGAAGTCCTACTTTACAGAGTGTTATGGTTTACTCTTTCTTTCTTTTTCATGCCCACACACACCACACAAGTGCTTTTAGTGCTCAGAGTAGAAAAGCGCTATATAGGAACCAGTCCATCTATCATGTACAAAATGTTACCGAGGGCTGCTACTGGCCTACAGGATGCACTTTCAAAATATTTGACATATAGCTTGTCATCTCTAATTGAAACAGCAACCCAAGTCTCACACTGAAGAGTTAAAAAGCTTTTGAAGTTTTCCAGCAGCTGATAAAGATCATGCAATATCACTGAAAGATCCAGAAGGGCCACTAAAGGGGTCCTGAGGAAAGACTGTTTTGTCAAATGTGAAATGGATTTGTGGAGCTCCACAGCAGTTTTTGTATTTTCTAAAATAAAAGAGCATACTTATTTTCTTTTCTTGTAGTTTAATAAATTTGAATGTCAAATGCATTAATTTTGATAAACACCTAACCTTTAAAGTCAATCACTCTTTGGATTTTGGACTGCTGCCTTGGATGTGGGCAGTGTCGTCTTACAATTCACCAATAAATGAAGGAAAAACTGGTTACTATTACTGTTCTTGAAGCTTGTAGGTACAAATGACAAAAAACCAAGTATAGAAATGCATAACTTCAGGAGAAATTGTTTTCAACGTTTTGCTTGAGATATTCATTTGCCTCCTGCTTCAGATAAAAGGTTACTATACTGTTTTAATGCAACCCACCCCAAGAAGAACAAAACATAAAAGAACAAAAACTACATTTACATTTAAAATATTTACAATCTTTTGTGAGCCTCTTTGTACCAAATCATTATTTTGATATTATTTTTATTGTGTCTCATATCTCAATATGACACCAAATTATTAGTAACAATTATTTTTTTTATCTAAAGTGAAACTAAAGTAATGAGTTTTGAGCTGAAAGAGGCCATGACAACAACAGCAGCTCAAAATGGAAGAATGACCAGCATGGCCTCTCAATCAATGGCTGCTCCTGGGCCTCCTAAAGCGTGGGATACAGGCAAGTGCAAGTGAGGAAAATCAATCCATGGCGAGACCTCTTTCTTCAGCCCTGATGCCTGCCCTTAAAGAAAAGGCCTCCAGTCAAGGCTGTGGTGTGTCTGGATGGAGAATCTGGGCCATTCTGCATGACTCCAGGTTAACATGTGGCACTGTTCGCCAGCCACTTGTGTAAATTATTTGGTTGCTGGTCCTGCTCCTTCCTGCTGTTTCAAACATCCTTCAGCTGCAAGGATCCAAAGAGATGGACGGCTGATGCCAAAAAGTTCACTGCAGACATTTAACAGTCCTCACAGCACAAAAACATCCATCTTAAACTGGTCATTTAGCCAGACATTTAGACTCTGAGGGTTTTAAAGTCTGTCGACACACTGAGCAACTACAGTGTTTCTCATTGTATTTATATATTAGGCACCATTTGTTTGAAATAAAAGAACCGATGTTACAACAATGAAGAAAGTTTTTGTGTCTAAATCTGGTTATAACCGTAGCAGATTGGCTGCGATTTTAAAAATTGTAAGAAAAAAAGACATACTTTAAGACAAAGTAATAGAACAGATTATCCGCAGCAGCATTACTGAGTTTGTAATAGACTTCATTTATTTCAGCACAAATAAAAAAAGAGATACTTTGCCTCCTGGAGAGATGATTCTTCTTATTTAAATAAAAAGTGTCAGTTATTTATAGTTCGTAATTAATCAATACTGTTTCACACAATACAATTTATAGTGATGTGGAGAATACGAAGACATTTCCTTGTTAAAATAAGAAAAAAACATTTTTGGAAAATGATGCGTTCATGTTTTAAAACTAACATAGATGCCTACGGTCAACTTATATTTGTTTGTAACAAATGACAGATAAAAACAAATATCTGCCACAAAATAATGAATGTTAGATTATGAGAAAATGAGATTTTAGCAAATGAATCGGTTTCACTGGGAGAATCTGAGCAAAGCGACATTTTTCATAAAACAACTTTGTTCTC